AATAGTCAACCGATAGAATTGATCATTAACTATGTTCATTGATTACCAATATATTTAATAACTGACAAATCTGCCGATAACTTCACAGAGTCCAGTTCCTTTTTTATCTTACTAGATTGACTCTAACTTCAAGATTAAACTGGATAATCTTGAAACAATAAACAATAACTTATAAGTGAATTGCTCAACGTTGGTAAAATGAAAGTTGCTAAAATGAAAAAAAAAATCGCCACTGATTTTTTGATCATTTGCATAAAAATACTGAACTTTGAGAGATTGATAGTTTGGTTGATATAGGGTAAGCAGATTCTTATGTCAGAGTGCTGTGATCAATTCAGATAATCGTGTCCAATGGTGATATCAATTCAAGGTGTGAGGGTATCAGCCGATTTTCCTAGAGAATTTAGATTTCGGAAGCATTAACTGTTGCAGACCACATTTCTAATACACATTTCAATTATTATTTAAAGCTTTCTTAATGAGAAGGAAGGAAGGATTTGCCTTGTTGTAATTGTCAACAGCTAAAATCGCTCACTCGCGCATTGCGATTTTACGGTTATGGTTTGATGAAACTGTCGTTCGAAAAATCGAACATACACATTTTCGGTCTTCTTCCAAGCCTATGCCGTTGCCAGCATAAATTTATCCGTAATGTTTTTCAAGGTTTCTTCCACAAAGTCATCCAGCATTAAAGTTCCAAGGATTTCGAACTTTTCTTTTGGATTTGGGAAATTAATTTTCAGAAAATTCGAAAAAAAAAAAACTTTTTGGGCGAAATTATTTTGGAATGTCACTTTCAGAAATTTACGGAAGACCGTTCTTTCGGAAATTCTGTTCCCATAAATTTACCAAGGAAAGGTTTTTTGGATAATTTAAATTCGGAAATAAAAGTTTCTTGGGTAGTTTTAATTCAGAAAGGAGGATTTTTGGGCACTTTGAGCTTAAAAATCCGGAACAAGAAGATTTTTGAGCACTTTGAGTAGAAACCAATAATATTAGCACATTTCATAATTTGTCATAAAATCTGTGTTGGAATATCTCAAATACTTCGATAGTTAGACGATGCGCTCTCTCTGTCTTCACGATGCTTTGATACACGCCTATTAGCCAATTCGTCCCACTGCTTTTTCTACTAATTCGTTCTTCAATTGTACAATAATAATTTTTTTTATTTTTGCGGATTTGTGGAGATGGGATAGCCTCTTGTTTCTTGGATTTTAATTTTATTTTCTTAATCGGCCTGCAAATAAGGAGTTCTGATAATTTAGGAGGTCTTGAAGTCGTGTTTATGTCCAGTAACGTATTCGATGTGAATGAAATTTTGATTGAATTAGGCGAAATTGTACGAGAGGAAATCATTTTCTCAGTTGCCCGTTTTCAGGATGACTTCGCTGCAACGGCAGTTGGAAGCATTACGGACTCCGGCTACCAGCCGACTTGGGACCGAACGCTTCATTGGATCGTTGCTATTCGATCGGAAACAAGCCGCATCGCTTTACAAAGAAGAAGCGCATAAAATTGGTATTTCTTTCGTCGTTGTTTCAATCTTCAGTTCTCAACTCCGCGATGCTTATACTGTGATTTATATTGCATGATTTATAATTCTGCTTATCCCTAACGAAGTTGTGGGTGCAGAATACAAACCTTCTACCATTTGTAAACGCATTTCTCGACGTAATTTGTTCAGTGGACGTATGAAATTT